CATAATAACACCGTAGGATTTCTCATTACTATCATCTAAATAGAATATTGAGTAGTCATTAAAATAGTAAAAAAGTTTACTAAATGTGAGTAAGACTGCAAAAATGGGGTAAACTAATTAAGTTGGCCGCATATGCAACTGGCTGGCAATTTCAAATTAAAACAGAAAAACAATGTAAGGCAAGGTTGCACCTTTTTGATACTGGGCCAACATTACTGAATAAAGATTAAGAACAGCAAAGATATAATATTCTAGACTTACCTTCTGTATGTCCATTGCCTTGAAGATATCTGGTAATTGAGCTACCATGGTCAGAATGATTGATTATCAAAAATAATGGAATACAGATGATGAGTATCAGAAGAAGGCAAAGAAAGCGCGACGTCATACGAACCATCAAACAGTGCCTCTAACTACCGGTCAGCAAGGTCATACCCAGAACACGGAACTACCGACGACGAGCGCCTAAAAATTCCCCTTTACAATAAAATTGCTTTTTCTTCGTGAAATTGCAGAAGAAAATCACAAAAAAGACGTCGAGATATTCAAAAAGGTGAAACCGTAACAAGGTCATCGATTCGACGGAGTACAACAATGCGTATAAACTTTTGCATCATAGAAGACAAGAAAGAATAAATACCCCAAAATGTGAGATGGATGGGATATAGCTTCCATGATTGTTTAGCAATTATGAAATTGACATACATACATATCCTAGAGAAAACTGAATACACTAAATATTTGAAAACATTGAAACAGCTCTCATCATCTGACGCTACATAATGCTGGGTATACATCCATCAGAAAAGTATGACTGCAATAGCATGCTTATCAAATTTGGTTTTGAACATTATGGAAGGATAAAAAAGATTTCCCGTCAATAATAACTGTTTATAATGCTGACGTAAGCGATCAACTAGAATGTATGACGGCATCAAAAGCTCAATAAATGAAGTTTTGAACATTCTGGGAAGGGAAAAAGGTTTACTGCCAACAACAGCTTTGAATATCCAATAACATATTGATTTAGGCTATTAAATCGCGAGTGGAACTAATGCCTGTTGACATAAATGTCAATAATCCGTTATACAGCAATCTGTATAAATATGACGTCATCCTCTGCCTCCCTCTACATATTTGATAGGTTTAAAAAAAAGAATGTTGCGTGTCGAATAGTGATAAAGGAGTGGAACTTAAATATTCCCACATTTTAACCTACCATTTATAACTCAAACACTTACCAATGCACTAAACTCGGAATTGTATTTGTGTTCTCTTGCAGGGCACGATTACGCAAGTTCATTATTACCACTGTACTTGGTGACAATGTATTTTAGTGTTTACTCGAAGTGTTTTTTTTTTGAAGTTCTGGTTACGTAAA